GTGAATGGAGGTGCTGGCAGGGATGGGAGCGAGGCAGAGTCTCACATTTGCAATCACAGCTGTTCATTGTAGTTTACCAAAGGGAATGGATCTTCTCTATTGAATGAGCTTAATGAAGCTGCACTGTGTGGCTTTGAAGATTAGTCTTACTATCACCATTTCTTCCTCCAGCAGATTGTATTAAAATACACTTGTGCCTGCTCAATAAGTTATCCATCCTTTTAAAAAAACCTGTGTTCACCACTACCAGGGCAGCTTCTGAAGGAGCATGGCCCTGTGACCAAATTTTCCCAACAGTGGTGGTGCAGATAACAGTGCATGTGAAAATGTTCACAGCACCAGTTTCTATGCATGGGATCATTTCCGTCCAACACTCTATATGGAAATCAGGTAACACAACCAGAATCTTTTCCCTTTAATTTTGGCTTTTAACAAAAATCCCCTGGATTATGCTGTTAAAGATTTACTCTCTGACATTACACTTCCCGCCAGCTTGTTAGTCTTTCCCAGTGATGAAGGACAGCTGGAAAATACTGCTCCACAACTGAACACTTCTTTCCAAGTCTGTGCATCACTTGGGATTGACTGCTGGGCTACCGCTATGGGGAGAATAGGAGAGATGCCTACCCCAGAAATAGCCATATCATGGTTTTGAATAAGGCATTTCTTTAAAGATAGCTTAATTTTGCAGTCTCGATATATATGTAATGACAGAAGGAATTAAGTATAAAAACTATTTAGAACTGCATTGCCATACCTAGTGTTTCTGTCTTGTTCCTTGTTTTGCATTAATGGTAGCAGAAAAAAGAGTGGCTGTGTTACACTAATAGCACTATGAGCCCAAGAGCTGGATCAGGACCACATGTGGGTGGTCTCAAAGAAAAAGACTGATTCTTGCTGACTGTAGATTTGTTGTTGTCATTAAACCCACTTATTGCAGCAGCCTTTCCACTTCTACCACTGAGGGTGTGGAAGTTCTCATGTCCCACAGCAGTTTGTATATGAGCAACCTCACCTGACAACAACCTTCAACTGGCACTTGGAAGGGTTTCAGTGCAGAAAGTGACTGAATGAACGAGTTTGCTGGGAATATAGTGAATGCAAAGGTTGGGGCAGATCCCAGTCTGTTGGGCAGCAAGCTGAGCACAGGAACCCACCCGTTTGCTTTACTCTTTCACAAAGACGATGTGCTCTGGCTGTCCTAACGCTGCACTGCAGGAAAATAGGCCGGGCTACCCAGCACAGCTTAGGATGCTCCAACAGTACGCTTCAGCCACTGAATTCCCTTTCTGTTTCATCCACAGATGTTTTCCAGAGTGGTTTTAAATACCAGCTCCCTAAGGATGAGAAAGATCAACAGCTCATATTGTGATGTCAGCAATGCTCGCAGCAGGGACCAGACCCCAATGAATAAAATTAATCCAGGGGTGGGTGAATCCAGCTGCTAACTTTTCAGAACAGTCACACAACCGCACAATGCCGAGCAGCACAAAACAAACACTTTCATCTGCTTACACTGACTCCTCATCCTGATCTAGTATGGGTAGGAGAAATGCCAATAATAGCTCAGGTCTACTTTTACAAATGGGAAAATTATGGTTATAAATCAGCTAAACTACTCTGAAATCCATTATACTGTTATTATAACATTTTGACAGCACAAGTGGACTTATTCAAAACTACACATCAACTAAGATCAACCTTTTCCTCTGTGTTTCATGTTTTGGACCTGTTACGCACTTCAGAAGTCTGGTGGAAGAGACACGGCGGTTTTTACTTAGAAGTCCAAGTACACTTTAGGTCAAGAACTGAACACTGCCTTATCTTGTTCCAATCATTCTTTCACTTAAATAAAACATGCTTAAGAGAGAGACCCAGGCCTACATGTGGCAAAGAAACTAACCATCTCTCCACAGAAATGAGTGATCCCTTACAGTTTGGGTGTAGAAACTAGTTTTGCAATTGCCTTAGAAAAATAACCAAGCTCACACATGGAGAAATAAAAGAAAAAAAGAAAAAATTTTAAAAAGAGGAACAAGAAAAAGAAAAGAAAGAAGGAATAAAATAAATCATAGCATGCAAGACAAATGTAATAATTGTTAGTTGATGCTGGTCCTTTAATTTATAGTAAGAACCAGCTTATACATAATGGTTCAAAACCAGCTTGAAAAATGTTGGTAGTTCATCTTAATATTTCAAATATCTGAGTCACAGAAGCATCATCCTGGCTTTACTGTATCTTTTGTATCTGCACGGTGTATCACAAAGGTCTCAGATCATAAATTACTTAGGAATAATGAAACTTTATGCCCACTAGCGACTTAACTCAGAAAAGCAGTCCCTGCAGCTGAAAGGCTCGGCTAATTTCCGAGTTACAGATGTGTACAGCTCTTTCTCAGGAGGAGGATGTGAGCGGGTGTACGCAGGCAGAGGTGCAGCAAGGTCTGCACGTGGCGTGCTCAAAATAGGGGCATCGGCCATCGCTGCCGGGTACTTATTGCCCGAGTGTACCCTTCACGGTGCCACCCTGATCCCAGAGGCTGGAGTTACCCCGCAGCTCGCCTCCACTTACGCCCCCAGACCGCCCGCCCCGGGGCGCATACCCCCCGTTTTGGCCGAGGCGGAGGCGCAGCCCCGCAGCCTCCACGCCGCTGCCGGTACCGGCCCAGGGCAGCCAGCGCCCTCAGAGCTATCCCGTCGCTGTCCTTACCTCCGCCATGGAGCAGCCGGCCCCGCGCAGGGACCCCAGCACCGTCGCCCCGTCCTCCTTCCGTGGAGGGACTGGGGGACGGCTCCCCCAGGCGGGGCGATCCGGCTGCCAGAGGAGCCTGAGGAATTTCAGGGGGGTCGAGGACACATGGCTGCCCGGGGGCGGCTCTACTGTCCCAGCAGCCGACGCGCTTGGGGGCGCACGCGGGGACTGATCGCCGTCCCGGACCCGCTCCCACACAGCTCCCCTCCCTTTCAACTCCGGCCCTTCCTCCGGGCGGGAGGCGGGACTGGGACACGGGGACACCCCGGCACCCTCAGCTAAGCGCCGCTCCACGGAGCCGAGTGCCCCCACCTGTGTCCTGGGGGCTTCCTGTGTGCCCGGGAGGACGAACATTCTCCGGTTGCTGAAGCGAGCTAGAAATAAAGGAGACGAGTTAGAAAGTACAGTAGCTAGTAGCGAAAATAAAAATAGTAATAAAAATAAATAAAAATGCAAAGCGATTCTCCACCTGCCTCTGGTAGCAAACATTCTTCATTCCCCATCCTGGGTTTTAAAGTATTTAAATAAAAGAAAAAAATACACAGGTACAGGTTTTAATTACAATCAACCTGTGCCGTGGTGTACGGGTGGGCTGGCCACTAAATGATGGGCAGGCGTTCTCTGTGAACCCCTCTCTCCGCCTCAGAAGGGGAAGGGAAAGGGAATAAGGGAGAGAGATTTACGGGTTGGAAAAAAAACCTAACGGGTTTAATAAAACAATAACAATAATACTACAGGATAATAAATAGGAAAATAATTAAATATATGCAAGTATATACAAAACCAATGTCAAATCCCCCCCCCAAGCGGTTACATCACCTGAGGCTCTGTGGAACAGAGCACTGGAAAGGTCCCAGACTGGACTCAGCAACAGGTGGGCGCAGGATTCAGGAACTGGATTCAGGGACGCACGGATCGGGATTGAAGGCAGAGACACTAGCAGGGTTCTTCTTGGACATCAGCCATGGCAGAATAAAGGGCTTGACCCTTGTAATCCCTCAGCTTTATACTGAGGATGAGGTATGTGGGGTGGAATTCCTTGTTGGTCAGTTTTGGGTCATGTGCCCTGTCTGCTCCTTCCTGCAGGTGCGACAGCTCTACTTACGACACCCCAATAGGGCACCCAGTACGGTGCAGTGGCCTTGGTCTCCATAGGCACAAGTATAAGCAAGAGCCATATTTACATACCATACCTAATAGTAACTATAAACATCAAGCACTATCACTTGCAGAAGCACACACTGTCTGGAAAAACATGCCCTTGGTTTCAGAAGGAAGACACAACTGAAAAAGTAAAATCAATAAATAGAATTAGTTCTATTTAACTCAAACCAGGACAACCTGGTGTCTAAATATCTATCCAATGCCTTTGTTTTCCAAGCTATGGAACTGTATTTTCCACAACACGTCTACTTAGCACCACCCGAACTTACTCTCCCAAATGCTAGAAATGTCTTTTCTAGCTGTTTTGTTCTCTCTCTGCCCTCTGAAAAATCCTTTTACCACTTCTCATGACTTTTACTTATCTGAGTGTTTCAGACTTGTTTTGGCATTTACAAGGCCTAAGACTGCTCGAGCAGGCCCTGAGAGTGTCGCTTCTTCAGTGATGACTATGCATCTGATGGGTGCAGCTTCTCAGTTCTCTGTTATCACGGATGACATTTCCCTTTTTATGCTGGGATGCTGTGTAATGGGTGTGTTATAATACTCCTAGCATTTTCTTGCATCTTGTTTCTTGAATTACAGTAAAATAACAGTTTTTCAAAAATCGAAATGAGTTGGAATCTGATACAGTCTTCCATTGCCAGCTTTTTTTTCCCATGCCTGAGTAAGATCTCTGACTTTTTAAGTGCAGATTTTATAACTGAAGGTAATGTTTGTTTTGCCATTGCAAAAATAAATTAGATGTGTCTTAAGCTAAATACATTTTGCGCCACAAATGCCAAGAGAGACATCGAACACAAGTCCTTACATTCCACATTGTTCACTGATGTGAAATGTGTTCACCTGATTCATGTCGATATGGAACAATGCTAGGGCCACAGGGGAAATGTGACTTTTTCTGCTTGTTCTTGTATAGCCGCAGGCTTGGGGGAAGCAGGCTGGTATGTGTATGGATCCTGTTTCTTGCAAAAGCCACCTAACGAACATTGTATCAGCTTCAAACACCTGTTTCTTGCAAAAGCCACCTAATGAACACTGTATCATATCAGCTTTGACCAATTTGGGTTTTTTTGCTGATAACCACATAGTGGGGTTTTTTTTCTGATTCATAATGATTCATAGTGTTATGTATTGCTGATTCATAGTGATTCATAGTGTTATGTATTGCTGATTCATAATGATTCATTGTGTTATGTATTGCTGATTCATAGTGTTATGTAAGAGAGGCCTGTAAAGCACATGCGCTGAAGATTTCCGGTAAAGACCAACCTTTTCTCAGAAATAGCTATGAATATGTATTAGCAACAGGTATATAAACCAAAGATGAGAACTGTACGGTGTACGTCTTGGTGGAACGGAGACTCCCGGCGCACCCAGCGCTGTTTGCTTGTCTCTATTCATTCAATAAATTGTGAACTTTAATTGGAATTCTGTTTGAGACTAAATCATTTATCACAACTGATGTTAACTTTTTGTTATTGTTGTTGCAGCACAGTCAAAACCTTTGCACATAATTTTTAACGCTTGTAGATCAAGTCTTCTAATTATAAGAAAATACATGACAATTAAATATAGTCTACAGACTTTCTTGCAAAAGATGGAGAGGAAAAGGAGCATGTGTTTTGAAGGTGCTGGCAGATATGCTGTGGGAGAAGACCTTGGGGATTATTTGGACACCTCTCAGGGCTAGAAACCACTGTTATGTTTCCTTCAACTTTTTGGTGATGATGCCCAGCCCGTATCTGCTACCACCTGAAGCACAGCTGCTGTATCATAGCACAGAGCACTCTCCTGCCTGACTTAGTGCTGGGCCTGCAGCTTTGTACATCTCATCCCTCAAGGGAGACGAGCCACTGTGGGTCACCACAACCATCTACATTAAACAGGCCCGCTTAAGTGCTTAGTCTTTAACAAGAGGATGGATTTTAGATGGTTAAGAGGGTACAGAAGCAACTGTTGCAGTTACTTTTGGCTGTCAGTTTTTAATCTGAGCTGAGTTTTGAGTCATGGTCCTTAGGACCCTCAGAACCATACAAGGGCTGAAACCTCTGTGAGGCTGGCCCAGCTACCTTAAATTGCAGACAACCTTTACCCAGAAGCAATTTTATGGTGGTAAATTTTGGGATGCAGTTCAGGTTCCTGGCTTCCAGTATTCAGGACTTTAAAATCCTGCCCTCAAACAGCAATGAATAAGGGTGTGCTCAGTTAGCAGTGTCCCACAGAGAATGTGTCAGTGCCAGAGAGCTTCTGTGTCCTCTCAGTCAGTTTTGTAGGTGTCTTGCATGTCAGACACTCTGCCTACAAAGGCAATCAGCCCCTCATCCTGATCTGCAAAGTCAGTATTATTTCTGTCTTGAAATAATTATTATATAATTATTGAAATAATTATTAAATCTATGCAAAAGCCACTACATAGATGATGTCGTAGCATGAACACTTCTTTTAGCATGAATCCCAAAAGCTTGATCTGAATCTGTGAAAAATGTTATGATGTAAAAAATGAAGGCCTTCTTTCTTACCTCAATTTGCAACAGAGAAACTTTGCAGTTTGTCCTGAGTTACTGTAGAGAGAGAGAGCAAAAGTTAATCACAAAGTCCAAGTCATGTACATCATGTAGCTGCATGCCTGGAAGCATGAAACTCAGCACTGGGCAAGGTGGCAACCATCAATATCTGGATATCTGGTGTTATCTGGATGCCTGGAGGAGTGTTAAATGGGGAGGAGGCCTCATGGTTCCAGTCCCCCATTTTTCTTTTCCACCCTAAAGAAAGGAGCTGTTACCCCCACCCATGCAGGCGTGAATTAACAGACTTTGTGACATTAACATAAGTGATAAGATTGTCTATAGTCATCGCCACCCACACGTATGCCCCGCTGATGTAATGTAAAAATTTGAGTATAAATATCACCCCAATTTCGGCCCAAGAATCAGAACAGGATCAACTCAGAACCATACCGATGACTGGATGGATTGACAAATTCGCTCCCTCTCCATCCCTCCCACTCGGGTCACTTTGTGGGTAAGATTATTTACCTCAGATAACGCTGAGTGATATACTTTTCCTCCTCAAGTACATACTCCCTGAGTGTATTTTACATTTCTCCTCAGGTACATTTCTATGCTTCCCTGAGAGCATTCTTGGTTTTGCTCCACTGTATTTCTGTTCAATGAGCTTGTTTATTTGTCAGGCAGCCTCAGGCAGCAGGCTTACAGCAGTCAAGTTGTTGTTGTTGTTGTTGTTGTTGTTGTTGTTAGTGTTTGTGTGTGTGTGTGTCAGTTTTATAGTGTGTTGTTGTATTATATTAGATATACAACCTTTAGTGTACCTGTAGCTTTTCAATTTATCACCAAGAATCCAAAAGAACCTGTAAATGTTGCTATAAATAAACAATTACTATTTGTCCCCTGACTTGTGTCTGTCACGTATTCGGTGCCAGCCTCACAAGACTGGATTTATTTTCCCATTTTTGCAACAGTTACTCAAAAGCAAAGAAGAGCAGGTCCCTATGGCATACGGTCCCGAAGACTCATCTCCACAGAAGGGAAAGCTGCGCATGCTGCCGAGTAAGTGCCACAGTGTTTTCACCAGACTCCTGCTCTGAATTATTAGGGAGCAAAGACTGTGTATGTGTTGTATATGGAGCTGCAGGTGAGCTTAGATTACATCTCAGCTGTTTACAGCTCCTAAATGCATCTGTAGTCATTTATTCCAAAGAAGGGTCTTGATAGTTTCAAGTACTCTGCTAATCTTGCATTCAGTGAATCTAGGAAATAGCTGTTCATTTTTTCCTTATTTCTAAATTCTGATAATACTCTAATTTTGTTTAATAACACATCAGCAAAGTTTCTTCCATTCGACATTTCATGCATCGTTTCTGATTACTTCCATTTATGTTTCACAAGAAGTGAATCTAATCTAATTAGATCCTTACCTAATCAAGGTAAGCAATTCATAGATAATCTTCTTTCAGAGAAGCATTAACATCAGTTTTAATAAATATGTTACTCAATTACTTGGTATTGATTCTGCCATGTTAGATGGGTGCATTGCTCCCGTCTCTGCTCCATGGTCTCTGCTCAATTGGTCTCTGTGCTCCATGCCAGCGCTGAAAATGAGAGGCAGGCTCTTTAGCATCAGAGCATCTATGGTGGATGCTAAGCAGCGGAGGAGAAATGCTCTCAGCAGCTACCTACAATGATGCAGGCTT